TCATTTCTTACCTTTCATACAGTCCATCAACTAAATATTTGCTATCTTATATACTTCCAGGAGTATTACTGTTAGTGATATACGTTAAACTATAACAGATAATCATGAATTTCACAAACATTCTAACAGAACATATGAGCAAAAACCATCTTATAGAGCAGACTTGTTCAAACAATACACAAGACCTTTTACCTGAATGGCTAATACTGCTAAAATATTGATAATAAAAACTGATTTTTCCGAGTGTCAGACAAAGTTCATCTATTTGTTCTTCATATTATTCTTGTTTCACAAGCCTACAGATAAAACGGCTATGAATAATTTATTCAAACCTGGACAAATCTACTAAAATTTTACCTCCACAGTACTGTTTTTATGTTGATTCTTGAAAGAGAAGGAGGTATTTTTATCAGTTTTTCATCGCTACTAGCCAAGTTTCTATTCGAAACCATTCAAGCACCGAAGCTTACAGCAAAAACATCTAGGTATACTATGCCAAAATCTATACACAGCTACTGAAAAAACTTCTGCGAAGGTTGTAGGACTATTTCTAAGTTGATTCTTGAAGTCGAGATTTCCTCCCTCTAAAATTATATAAGTTCTTCTTCGCTACCAACATAAGCTCTTCGAAGCCATTTAAGCATCACAGAAATGTAGAAGTCATTTAAGCACCTGTATACTAGTCACAAACACTTTGTTTTATTAGCATCAACAATCTGTATATTTATAACAGTGTCTCCAGCCTTATTATTACTGATTTTAGTTTTACAAGCCGCTGCAGAAAAAAAAAAACGGCTACGAATATTTTACTGAAACCAGGACAATAATAATGAATGAGGTATTGAGTATATCATAGGGTAGTTTTAAAATTAATTGAAGTGCCTTCGTTTTTTCGCCCTGAAGAATTTCTCCAAGGAATTTGTGGAACTTATAGGGTAATTAATTGGAAACTGCCACGATGAGGATTCATATTTCTCTAGTTCCCTGTTGTACTTTGTCTTTACGTTGTTTGCTAACAGTAGACGATTACCATAGTAGATTTCTCTACTCTTGTCAGTGGCGATTTATTCTACTAATTTTCGTACTTCAATGAAATTGTGAGTGCATATTTTACTATTATTGTATTATTATTATTATTCATGTTTTTCTTTCACAAGCCTACAACAAAATCGGCTGGGTATTTTGCACCAAAATCTAGATAGAAAAACTCAGTGAAACGCTGAGAATATTCAGGACCTGTTTCAAAAGTTGAATATTTTTCACCGAAAATTGGCCATCCCAGTGGCACAGTGGTATATCTGCAGACTTACAACGCTAGAAACCGGGTTTCGATTCCCGTGGTGGGAAGAGCACAGATAGCCCATTGTGTAGCTTTGTGCTTAACTTCAAACAAACAAACACTGAAAATTGATTTATATGGCTATGGATACATAATGTGTATGATGTTGTTGTGAGCGGCTTCTTTTGTACTCGAGCTTGATATATACATTGAGTGGTCACAAGTAAATAGACACCTAATTTTTCGTCATTTAACTGATTTATGCTAACTAATTTGTG